GAGAGGGAGAGAGAGAGGGAGAGAGAGAGAGAGGGGGGAGAGGGAGGGAGAGAGTCATTGAGTCGTAATCAGACGTAGGTCATCGAGTAGTGAAGGGACGTGACTAGTTGAGTGATGCATTGTTGTCATATAAGACAAACTGAGTCCAGTGTCAGTGTGAATCAGGTATGGTCGTGAGTCAGTGAGTCGTGAATGTGCGTAATGCTCCGCGCACACTAAGAACATTTTTACTCGTCACACGGCTGCGAAGTATGACGTCGCTTAGTGGGGAAGAAAGACAAAGGGTGGAAAATTGCTTTATTGCATACTCGGACCTTTTCGACTAGGGCAAATTTTCAAGTACTCACGAGGCCTAAATCTTGTAGAGATGTGAGTCATTGAATCGTGCGTGGAGGTCAACGTGAGTCATTGGGTCTTGTGTGTGTAGATCAGTTACGTGAGTCACTGGGTCGTGTGTGTGGGCGTTAGTTACGCGTGTCATTGGGTCGTGTGTGTAGATCAGTTACGTGGGTCACTGGGTCGTGTGTGTAGATCAGTTACATGAGTCATTGAGTCTTGTGTAGAGGTCAACGTGATTCATTAGGTCGTGTGTGAAAGTCAATTACATGACTCGTGGAGTCGTGTGTGTAGATCAGTTATTCAAGTTATTGAGTCGTGTGTGTAGATCAGTTATGCATGTTATTGAGCCGTGTGTCTAGATCAGTTACGTGAGTCATTGGTTCGTGTGTAGGCGTCAGTTACGTGAGTCATTGTGTCTCGTGTGTCGATCAGTTGCGTTAGTCATTGGGTCGTGTGTGTAGATCAGTTACGTGACTCATAGGGTCGTGTGTGTAGATCAGTTACGTGAGCCATTAGGTCGTGTGTGGAGGTCAGTTACTTGAGTCATTGAGTCGTGTGTGTAGATCAGTTATTCAAGTTATTGAGTCGTGTGTGTAGATCAGTTATGCATGTTATTGAGCCGTGTGTCTAGATCAGTTACGTGAGTCATTGGTTCGTGTGTAGGCGTCAGTTACGTGAGTCATTGTATCTCGTGTGTCGATCAGTTGCGTTAGTCATTGGGTCGTGTGTGTAGATCAGTTACGTGACTCATAGGGTCGTGTGTGTAGATCAGTTACGTGAGCCATTAGGTCGTGTGTGGAGGTCAGTTACTTGAGTCATTGAGTCGTGTGTGTAGATCAGTTATTCAAGTTATTATTGAGTCGTGTGTTTAGATCAGTTACGTGAGTCATTGAGTCGTGTGTTGACGTCAGTTACTTGATGTGAGTCATTGAGTCGTGTGTGTAGATCAGTTATTCAAGTTATTTAGTCATGTGTGTAGATAAGTTATGCAAATTATTGAGTCGTGTGTCTAGGTCAGTTACGTGAGTCATTGGGTCGTGTGTGTAGATCAGTTACGTTAGTCATTTGGTTGTGTGTGGACCTCAGTTCCGTAAGTCATTGGGTCATATGCATGTGTAGGCGTTAGTTACGTGAGTCATTGAGTCATGTGTAGGCGTTAGTTACGTGAGTCATTGGGTCATGTGTGGGCGTTAGTTACATGAGTCATTGGGTCATGTGTGGGCGTTAGTTAGT